AAGTGACAGAGGAAGTTTTAATGAGAGTTTTGTCTGTGTATCCAGTCAGGCCTTCCAGCCAGGCGATGAATAATAGAGACTGTGGCTCAATACTCTGAATACTCAATCAATGGCACTGGGAGAGAGCCTTAGCAAACACATGGAAGCCTGGGGTGGGCAGTGGGCTCAGGAGGTGTAGAAAATATTAAGGCTCCTTCATCTGTATCTCTGTGCTGAAAAAGAACATCATCTCAATAGATGCTGCTCACTTTTTGGCAGGCGTGTTTGCCTTGCCCAGGATGCCAAAGGCTGTTTGTACAGTATCGCAGGTTGGTGCAGAGTGGCTCCTCTGACAGTGCTCTTTTAACCCCAGATCCGACATGTCATTGGGTCCTTTGGTGGGACATAGAGAGCTGATCTTGAAATACTGTCTGTGCCTCTTGCTGTATACTGTTTTGGCATAAAATGTGTTTCTGATATATCAGAACACCATTTCTTCTTGACAGCATACCTGATTGACCTTTCTGGTAAGACTGTGTGTGTGTGTGTGTGTGCATTTCTGAGTTTTTCTTTTATTTAGGATTGTGTTTCTTTGTGCAGTTTTATGTTGAAGTGTGGCATCACTTGCGATTTGACAGATGAGAGGACTCCAGGGATTTCTGAGCAATGAGATATAAACCTGAAAACATCCCATTCTGTCTCTGCGGTCTAGAAGGAAAATGCCACAGAAAACCCAGAGGAGGAGTTTCTCTGAGGTTCCTGTAATGAGCCTGGCAACTATTTATACAAAGTGCTGTTGAAGGATAATTGTGGGTAATTATAAATGTGTGTGATTTTTGTGGTTTTGGCCATCCTTCTTGTTTGTACTGTTAAGACTGGACCTCAACAAATAGCCATTAAATTACCCAAATTTTTGCCACTTAGTTTTTTGTTGGCTTAGATCTGAATAAACTTTATCTGATTTTCACTGTTTGTGTTTCTTGCTCTTTTGGACTTTGCAATTACAGTGTCACATTCCCAGGTTTTATCCATTACTTTCTTAAGTAAAATCTTATTGTTATGAACAGGAATGATGTCCAAAACTATAAATTAAGATCCAAGTTGTAACAAACCATAATTATCGTTGAATGCTGATGAAGAGCTTTCAGCACCGAAGGCCCTCAGCTCACAAACGACAGAATGAGGCTTAACATTGCTAAGAAATGAAAAGCAAGTAGTACTTACAGAAGATCAGAAGAATACTTACAATATGAACTGGACTGGTGACATTCCAATACACACATGTTGTGTTTTTATAACTTCAGGGGATGTTACCTTGACATATGTTTATTTCCTGGAGACTTACCCCAAGTCTTCATTTTAAAATTTAACAATTTACATTTTCGATTCCCCACAACATGACTGTGTGAACAGCTGGGTGTCCCCACAACATGAGTAATGCCAGGCCACAAACCTCAATGCTGTGGCCTTAGCTTTATTTGCTATGATGATGTTTTGTTTTTTTTTAGCAGAGAAGCCTTCATTAGAGTGGAGTCCTCCTTTACAAGAATAAACATGTACTGTATAGTATCTTGAGGTGTGTAGCTAGCCACAGTGAACAACCACTGATTGTAAGTTTTCATCAACAGAAAACAAACACATTACACCATCACATCAAATCCTGCTTTGAAATTTCATATCGGACAAACTGTATAAAGTACACATGTACTACAACCTCAACACTGTTAAAACAAAACATTTATTGTTCTTAGTGAAACAGTCATTGCACATATGTTCTCATTGTTGTGCTCTGTAAACTCATAATCCTGCACCTGGCTAGTGTCTGGGGGACATTAGCCTCTGAAGTGGTACAGTGACAGTGTGATGACACTGGAGTGTGTATGTGTCGGCTCTTCTGGGACTGGCAACTTTCTTTGAGCACAGATTAGAGGAGAGACCTTGAGAATAAAATTGTTACTTTTATATTTGGTTTATGGCTCATTTTTCACATTAAACACAGAAAATCCATTCAGAGGTCACAGAATTCCTGCTTCTCTTCATCTTCCATAACAAATTTTTGCAGCCCTTGGTATCGACAAAGCATTCATTGGAGCAAAGTATGCAGGCTATGTACTGAACCTCTCAAGTCTCTATTTTCCACCAGCCAGTCTATTGGGACTTGTTCAACGCACATCTACTGGGGTTTTGGAAATGTCACTTGCATGACCACACACACACATGCACAGGGAGAGCCAGCACAGCTGCCATTATGTCATTGTGCCCTTATCTGCGAGCAGCGTGGCCAATACGACTTGTGATACGAGATAGCATTGCCAGATCTAGAAGGAGTCATAAAACCCCAGCTTTTATGGTGCGGTTATTGTCTTTCTGTCTATAATTACGGTGATTACTCATTTCCCTTTACCTCCCTCACGGCCCTCTTGGTACACTTAATAGACTGCATTTTACTAATGGAAAATTAAGTAGCTGTCATGGCAGTGAGGTTTATAAATATGTAAAATATACTTTTAATTATTTCAAGTGAATCTGGCAGCTAATCAATAAAGAGGAACATGACAAACATACGCTTGACACAGCCCATTGTAAAGCTACTGGTAAAAGATAAGCACAGCCTGTCAGCGCAGTCCAACCCTAATGAATATTTTGAGCCTGTCATGTAAAGAGACAAATGGATTAATTGTGCCGTGCTAATATAATAGCTTCTTCATGAAGAGTGCAGGAGAGGGGCAGAGGAGAGAGAGAGACCAGCTGCTAGGTTCTGAACCCTGACATCAAATAAATATTTATTAGGGTTGAGGGTTAAGTAGGTTTTTGCGATTACACGGACAGCCACTTAAGCATAGTTTATCATTTCTTTGAAAATTGATTCATGCCAATTTGTTTGATGCTATATTAATATTATTTTTTAAATGTCCTAGACATTGAGGACATGGTGAGGGATTAGATCCCAGTGCAGAGAGAAAGAGATAGTGGCTATTTGGAATAAAGTGAAGGAATAGAGAAGAATTAATTTATTTTATTTTTTGCAGTAAATAATTTCTCTGGAGTCCCTGCAGTCATTAATCAGGATCAAGTACAAAATTTTTAAGCCGCTGCGTGTACTTTGTAAGGCAGCAGCTAATTAATTTGTTTAGGTTTTTTTTTTTTCTTTCAATGAATTGATTCATTTAGTTTTAGTAAAGTCAGACAGTTGGCCATCATAATTTAATAGGGCCTTTTTTGTACAATAGTCTAAAACCGAAAGATTTTCACTTTACAATACTATAATTGTTGAAGCCAGTCAACCCTAACCTTAAACCAATAATAAGTTTATAAAATTATAGTCTGATCATTTTTTGTTTATCTTGCTGTACTAGTATTTTGATTATGCAGAAAATTTGCAGCACTGCCATTTTAATTTGCCAATTTGGTTTTGAAATATATATACTTTTTTCAGGAGTTTTCATTGTTACATCACTACCCACTAAAATATTCACACAAATGGCAGCAGGTAACATAGTAGCACCGATTTGACAAATAGAACAGTTTTTCCTCTCACACCCAGTTTTTCTATCCATTTCTGCCTGCAAACCTGTTGTTGGCGCTTTAAGGTGAAAGACAACATAAAGACAAGTAAGTACAAATGCATATAGGGGGCCTTCCTGGAAGCCGTCATCTCGCAATGGGAAACTGACCTTGAGTCCTGCCTTCTCCCAAAGCCGTCCCCTCTCGTTACCACCTCTCCTCCCTTCTTTTCTGTCTTCGTCAGAGTGGGAGAAGAAATGACAGAGGGAGGGGAGCACAGCGGGGGTTTGGGTCACCAGCCATGGTTCTCATCAATTAAATGTGCGACAGTGTTTTCTGTCTGCTAAACTTACACGTCAAGGAGATGGGCAAGACCTCATGTTTTGTGCTTTTGACAAATCAGCAAATGTTTAATCTCAAGATGTGCCAGTGCTCATAAATAATGCAGAGACCAGGCTGGGCCCAAACTCTACTGAGTGTCTGCACCCAGCCTCAATAGGAAAATGCAGGGAAAAACTAAATCCTCCTTCAGCCTTTTCATCTGCAGATGTCTCCTCCTTTCTGTGATCTGCAGCCCCTCTTCATCATTTGTTATTTTTATACTGTACCTTAACATGGGAGTTTCATCTTTTCATTCGCTCTTATCTGCCAGCATTGTCACTATGTTTCTTATCTAACTCTCTGTCTTTTGCCATCATTTTCTCACTCTGCTTGCTTATGGTTTAATTTTAGTCACCACACTCTGCCTCACTCTTTGAGAAGGAAAAGGAGACTCCGAATTATCCTGAGCCAAAGGTCTGCTATCTCAAAGACACAGGGGATTGAGCTTGAGCTTTGCCTACTTTTGCCCTAAATGTAAAGAGGGCAACAAAAAGCAGCGTAGTGGACTGTGAAGCGCATCAAATCCCCGTCTGTACAACCCTCACTTCTTCCCACAGACTTTGATTGGCCTGTCTACCGACTGGGAAAGTTTCCTGATTGTTCACTGGGAAAATTAAGATTTTAAGCCTATTGAAGTTGATCTTTGCTCATTGAAAAGTCCATCTGAATGTGTCCTTTGAAAGCTCAAATTGTTGACTCACCACATTAGAAGACTGAGCCTGAGAATGGTATCTGCTGAGTGTACTGTACTGAGAGCACCCTGCACCTGTTGTTTTGTAGCTGATGGTATGTAGTGTTTATGGCTTCCCATTGAGTGGAGCTGTGGGAAGTGTGCTGCGGAGTGTGTTAAAGAGTGAGGCTCTGTGCTTGCAATCCAGTTTATTATTCAGGCATTCTCACGTTAAGCCAATCCTTTGCATACACAGCACTGTGAAAATGAGCTGGAGAAATAATGTGATTGTTGTGAACTGTTTGGAAATTTGGTAAAAAACAGTGTGAAAGGTATGAGGTCCCCCCAAACTTCATGTGGATAAGTGATTTCACAAATCTAAGCTGAATCTAGATTCAGCAGTGAAAAATTATTAAGTAATTTGTGGAAAGTTTGTCAAATCTCACCAGTGCTTTTCCTCATGCAGGCTCTTGGAAGTTTCTACTTTATCCACGAGTCTTTGAAAAGCGTTCACCAGTTTGATTTCAAAGGTGAGTACCTCTTTCCCGGACACACACACACACACACACACACACACACACACACCACCACCATCATCATCATCATCATCATCATCATCATCATCACTACTGTCTCAAAATGAAATCCTGATAATGATACCCTCATCCCACCACTGCATATCACACAACTATTTGCAGGTTAGTGTCGCTTTCATCAAAACCAGTGAGCCAAGATAATGTAAAGGAAAAGGGACTGAATGGTAATGTTTATTAATAATAGCATTTAATACATAAGATTTCTGGCTTACAATAATTGTTTGTGTCAGGTTATTGGACAGTTACGACAGTCTCATCAGCCTGCGGTGCCAGACGTCCCAGGGTCTGGTAGCTGCACTAATTAAAGAAGGGAGACACCTCATTTCCTATTAGACCCAAGTTGGCATTAGCACCAGTTACCCCAGTGAAGGACAGGGTGAAGGCAGAGGAGGGGTTTAGACAGGAGAGGGCCACCCCCCATGTACACACATATACTGTAAAGATTAGATTTAGAATCAGAATCACATAAACTACTGTACATATTGTTGTTTTCCTTTGTAACAGCTCTCTCTCCCTGCAGGCATTTTGACTTGTCATGGTAGGAAAGGTCTACCTAATAACATTAATAATATATGTCACTGGGAGCCAGCATGCACAAAACTAGAAGCAGAAATTAAAGCAGCTAAATGGAATTCAGTCATTATTCATTTTAGTATATAAACATGTCTTTTATTTAGAAATGACTTCTGTGAAAAGACTGACTAGAAGTTCACTATAAGAGACGTTTAGTCTCTCCCAATGTCTTTTGTAAATGAAGCTTCCTGCAAAGACTGAATGCGAACTAACACAGATGATTCTAGTCATCCCGCAAGTATAATGTGTACAGCACTCAAACAGGTTGACAGTTTAAAACACTTTGTTGTCATTTTTATAAGTTAAAATGAAAACTTTGACTGTATACAATTACATTTTAAAAGAGTTTTAGTGCAAATGATAAATGAAACAAAGCTTTTTTTAAACAAATAGATCTTTGTATAAAAACTAAACAGAGAGCAAAGATTATGAAATTTATCTGACATTACAGTCTAGGTGTTGATGTATGATTTTGTATCACATCCCTGAACTGAAACCTAACTGTCTTCACTTGAGACAATAGGCATGAACCACAGCAATCTTCCTGTGCAATCAAAGTCATGTACTGTATGTTTTAAATACAGCCCACACTGCAACCTCTGACACTCCTGTTACACAGATGTTCTTCATGGTGACCAGCAGGTGGGGCAGTTGTCTGAGGAAGGCGAGGGGCATACTGGCTCTCATGAGTTCCACTGCTATTAGGAGATTCTCTATCACTCCCAAAATTAACCTGCTGTGTTTGTAAGAGTAAACTGTCTTTCTTCCTCTTCCTTGCTCTGTTCTTCCCCCTCCCCCTTGCATGTGTGTGGCTCTCTTTCTGCTCCTCTATTCCATCTACTTTTAGCCAAGAAATTCAAGAAGGTGGTAGGGAAGGAAACCTTCTCTGAGACACTAGAATGCACACCCACACTGGAGAAGGAGAAGTTTCCACAGGACTACTTTCCTGAGGTGGGTCCTGTAACAAACACTCTTATCTGACTGACGGTGGCATTGACATCTGATGACAACTTCCTGTTGAGATGTGCACTGGCAGTCAAGTCACAAACATCTCCTCATAAATGAACACAAAGCTCTTATACATACAGTAGGATTGATAAAGCTGCTAAATTGAAGTGGAATTGCAGTATCTTTTGCCCTTTATACTACACACATCATTCGGTGTTGCTTAATTGCTTATAATGACAGAAATGAATGAATATTTTCCCCTGATGAGAAATTTAGAAAAATAAGTCGGTGTCAAACTTCAGAAAATAATCTATACAACAGGGAGTTTTCCAGTTCCCTACTTTTTCTCATTTTCAAATGTTTTTTTTATGTATCTTTTTTCTTTAATTTTACAGTCCAGCTTTTCTGCTTCACTGAAATCTGGCTGACACACGGTTGATTTGAAAACAAATCACTCAAAAAATTCAAATTGTGAAACAGAGAAAGTCCTTGTTGTGTCTGCCGTGTCTCGTGGAGCAGCTCTCTGCTCACTCGGTTTGCCATCAGAAGGGAGATGAGCGCTGAGCATAGCTGTGCTGATATAGTAATAAAGAGCACGACCGCCCGTGTGTCATCCCTGCACTCCCCACTCATCTGTCAACCATGCTTCGATGGCCACCTCTGCAAATATATGCAAAACAGATGGATACAGCCCCTTCACACACTTCCCCCCAATTTCTGTCTCTTTCACACACTGCAGGACTCTCCAGTACCCCACCCCACCCCACCCTGATCCACCATAGACATACACACAAACATATGCATTCAATCAGACAAACAGCTTCGTGTCTTAGGTTTCCCACTTTTCTATTCCAGAGATGATCTAAAACCAATTACACTGATTGAAATGCAAAGCCATTTAAAATGATTACAACAAAGCACTGTGTTCTGTGTTTAACAGGACAGGCAAAGAAAACCACAAAACAAGCCTGGCACAGCTGCAGTGAGAAGGATTAGGGGAATGATGTAGAGGGAAAGGTGTGTGTGTGAAGAAAAGTTTTGCCAAGTGATTTATTCCTTTTTCCCGGCTGGGATATGAATCTTGGATGATGCTCCAGAGAGCAGCACTCCTTATAATGTTAGCCCATTTAAAAAGAGCAGATTTGTGTAGTCTATCAGTGTTGCTAAGCATTTTTTCCCCTCCTGCCTCCCTCCTCCACGTCTTCCTCCGGGCCCCTCCGTAGTGAGAAATTGGTTGTTATCATAGATCACAGATACTGCTCAAACCTCTTATGAAAGATGAATTAATTTCACTAATGCTTTAATGCAAAGCTCTCATGAGGGAGGCAGACTGGTGATAACCCCTGCCTCGTCCCCGCTTCCTCCACTGGTGATTTATGCCCTCTTTTAGTAGATGAAACCGCCTAGATTTGCCATCCATCTGCAGCTTTGAGGAATCTTATTACACAGGCCAGACAGGAGGCCACACAGAGTCTCGAACCAGTTGCTCACTCATTCTTGGATCACACAGCTTTAGATGTGATGAGTAATTGTTGTGTCAGCTGTGGAAATATTCCTGAATGAAATGATTTAATCTTCCTCACATTCTCATAACTAATTTCCAAGGGAGATAAAATAACTTGTCAGACAGAATGCTCATGGTAAGGTGAGAGAGTGACAATAGCGCAAGGTAAATGTGTGTGTTTCTCTGCTTGTGTCTTACCTTTACAGTCCCCCATTAATAAAGTGTCACTGCGCAAGCAGCTGGCATCATGATGGGTGGGTTTGGTGGCTGTGTGTGTTTAAAACAGACAACGAAAATGTCATTCAGTAAATTTCAGTGCACTTGAGTGGTGCATGGTGGTTTGGACACATGAAGGGTACACCTATATTTATAAGTCCTCAGCACATTCTTAGTACAGAGTAGTGTTGCGGGTAAAGTTTATTTTAATAATTGATTAATCTGCCAGTTATTTCCAGTGTTAATTGATTACTCATCTTGTGTGTAGAAGACCATCACAGCTTCACAGAGCCCTGCTTGTTTTGTCCCAAACATGTTTCCACTGAAAGAAAATGGTGAAAAGCAGAAAATACTCACATTGCCAGCGCATTGTTTTTTTAGTTGTAAACTGAATAAAATGAATCACAGGTATTAATAGTTGCATTCATTTTCTGCCAGTTAACTCATTGATTAACTGACTAATTGTTTCAAAAAGTGCAGAAAGAGAACAATCAGAAATGAATAAACAACCCTTTTTCCTGTATAACATTTCTTAACATTTCAAAAAGATCCATTTTCATATAACCTAAATCACGACCATGATGAATTTCTAGTTCAGCTTTTAAAATTTACTAAATTCAGTGTCATAAAATAATATAATGGGTAAAATCACTTACATTCACACTTTGCTCCTATGGCCCTTACTGCTCCTAGTTTGATTCTGATTTAAGTGATACCCCCTGCATATGCAAAAAGCCCATTCTCTCAGTAATTCCATGTTGAGTTATAGCTGTAAGTGAAGAGAAGAGATGCAGGGACATTAATTGAAATGCTCAATAAGAAGCAAGTGGACAAAATTGTGGGCACATTTCTTTTTGAAAGGTCGCCATGATGGATTTGGCAGCTTGTCGTTGTCACGTTGTTCCCTCAAGCTCTCCAGCTCCCCAGTGAGTATTAATATATTTATTTGTTTGCTGCAATAATACATGCCTCTAAAAACCATTGCATCAGAAGGATTTGTTATTGCCTTATATAAATAAAGTATACAACCCAGACCTTAATGTGCCCTTGCATTGATTGTTTTACACAGCCGCAGGAAAATAAAGTGAAAGGAAGAAAATAGCAGACAGGCTGTAGATCAACATCCATACGAGTCTGTATTTGTTGCTTGGCACCAAGAACCTGTCCATAAAAGCAGTGACTTTTCTTACCATTTTAGTGGCTTCTGTAGTAAGCTCTGATATGGGGCTGTGATTACTTTCAAGTTCTGCCCCTGATCACAGTTAACTTCCTTCATTTTTTTCTTCTTTGATTGAACCCCCGCATATGATTCATAGATGTGATGTGTACGTTAAAGAGATGAAGTCATTTAAAGTGGCATTGCTTATAAAATGCTCTCTGCATTTATCACCAGACAAGACACCTGTGACACAGATGCTGTTCTCTGTGATCCATGAGACTGCAAGGAGCTCATAAATGAGGGGATAATGCTGAAATGAACAATAGATGGTTTTCTACATAAGGATCAGTAAAAATGCCTTGATTTTAAAACCGAACTCTACTGCAAAAATGCTGCTTTCTGCTGTAAAAGTTCTTTTACTTTCAGCTTCTTGAACTTTTTGAGCTCTTGGCATTCCGACTTTGTATTTAATGCAATGTTTGAGTGGTGACAGAGACCACTCTGTCTGTTTGTGGTACATCTTTACCAGAGCGCCTGCACACACACACACACACACACACTCACACACGTTCTGCTGTCCAGTCATATAAACCTCTATGTGAGACCCTCTCTTATTTGATGGGCCCCCTGGATGATGGAATAAAGATAAATGTGACTGTCTACCCGGGCTCAAATCAATCAGCGTTTGTGTGTATTTCTTATTACTCACAGTGCAGTCCTGTCGCAGGGCTTTTGTGTAACCCCTTCCTCACACCCCCACCCTGTCCTGCACTCTTCTGTCACCCTATCTCCAAACACCCAGCCATAACATTATTTATGGGGGTTGGACTTTAAGCTGAAATATAAGAAAGGTCAAAGAATCAAACAGGATGGACTTGGAAATGGCGGCGAGATGGACAGAATCTAGGAGTGTGTGTTTCCTGACTGTGTCATGTGTGACATTTTATAGAAGCATAATTTTTCACGCCCCCATATATATCAGCCTGTATATATATGTATTGCCTGACCCACTGTGTAGCTGCCGTTCATCACTGTCATGGGTGGAGATGGCATCACTGACCTCAGGAGGGTCAGCCAATGTCACCCCAAGAATTGTGACCTTTTGCTGTTGCCCTTTGACTCTCACCCTCATCCCCACCCAGTGACTCTTTACAGCCACCAAACCTGATATATGACATAATTATATGTCACGTATTCATTTAACCCAAATACTACTCTGTAATAGTGACATAGTGTGTCAAACAGTATATTTGCTAAATTCTTACATTTTTAGATGTGTGTGTGGAGGAGGAAGGAAGGGTTA